TCATTCTTTTTGGAATGGAATAATAAGAAAATTGTGTCATTTAAATTGAAACAGAGGGAGTGGTATTTTTAAAATGCTATCTTGAGACTCGCTTCGGGGCAGGGCAACATTAAAATGCCCTGAGACTCTCGTGCGAGACTTAGTTATGTGAGACTTCGCTCAATTGTGCGCTCAAAATACACGTAACGTTCAACGCTCGGGACTCATTTCTAACGTAAATTATGCATCGAACTTCCTAATTGGCACTATCTACACTTAAAAAATATATATCAAACGAATGATCAAAGTTCTATTTATCTATAAAATATAAAAATTGAGAGTTCATTATTATTAGATATTTACTACTCTAGTTGAGAATATTATGACTCATAAAGTGAATATCTAGCAATATAAGTAGATTATATATATATAATTGTTATAAATATATTATATTATGGATGTTCATTTAGTGCCCCATTGTAAATAAGATTCTTGAAGAAGCTTATCCATATGGGACTCCGCTGCAAATATGTTTATCTATTTAGTACTCTATTGGAAATAAGCCTCCTTAAGAAGCTTATCTCTTCGGTACCCGGTTATGGATAAACATTACCCCCGGTAGAAGATTATTCATACCGGGTATAATGAGCTTATCTTTTCAGTACTCCGTTATGGATAAACATTACCCCCGGTAAAAGATTATCCATATCGGGTACAATGAGCTTATCCCTTCGGTACCCGATTAAGGACAAATATTACCCCCGGTAGAATATTATCCATACCGGGTACAATGAGCTTATCCCTTCGGTACCCGGTTATGGATAAACATTACCCCTAGTAGAAGATTATTCATACCGGGTACAATGAGATTATCCTTTCGATACCCGGTTATGGATAAACATTACCCCTGGTAGAAGATTATCCATACCAGGTACAATGAGCTTATCCTTTTAGTACTCCGTTATGGATAAACATTACTCTTAGCAGAAGATTATCCTTATCTAGTATAGTAGCAGCTTACACAACAACTTCCTTTCTTCTATAAATAGAAAAGATTTCAGTTCATTATGTATATCAGTTTGAATTCGAATAATATAACAGTTTCTCTCTATACTTGTCTTTACTTTACAGTCTTTATTTTATAACACATTATTAGCACGAGACTCTGCCATCTCGAGCAAATACTTTGAAAGTATTATTAGAGGTAAGAACTTTCTTTTCCTAAATAATGTCAAATCTTTCTAAACTTGAATTTGTAGCCCTGGATATATCGGGCAAAAGCTACATGTCTTGGGTGTTTGATGCTGAAATTCATCTTGATGTGATGGGTCTGGCAGACACCATCAAGGATAAAAATCAGGCATCAAACCAAGACCGTGCCAAAGCAATGATATTCCTACGTCATCACCTTGATGAGGGCCTGAAAATGGAATATCTCACTATTAAAGATCCAGTCATACTGTGGAATAATTTGAAAGATAGATATGACCACCTGAAGATGGTCGTTCTTCCACAGGCACGTTATGATTGGACTCATCTAAGGCTACAAGATTTTAAATCTATCAGTGAGTATAATTCTGCTATGTTCAGAATTATTTCCCAATTAAAATTATGTGGTGATAATATTACTGATCATGATATGTTGGAGAAAACTTTCACCACTTTTCATGCCTCGAATATGCTCCTGCAGCAGCAATATCGAGAGATGGGATTTAAAAAGTATTCTGAACTTATCTCACATCTTCTTATAGCAGAGCAACATAATGGGCTATTAATGAAAAATCATGAAAGCCGACCTATTGGTTCTTGTCCATTCCCTGAAGTGAATGAGACGAACTTCCACCAGACTAAACATGGAAGAGGTCGTGGCCCCAGTCGTGGTCATGGCCGTGGTCGGGGAAGAAACCCTAATCATGGTAATAATAATGCACCAAAGAACCCTCCTCGCCACCAACAATGGAAAAGGAAGGAACAAAAACATGAAGCGGTGCAAGCACCAAATGCAGAAAATGCATGCTATAGATGTGGAGGAAAAAGGCACTGGTCACGTACCTGCCGTACGCCAAAGCACCTGGTTGAGCTTTACCAAGTCTCCTTGAAGAAGATAGAGAAAAATACTGAAGCAAATTTTATTTCTGAAGATAATTTGGACTTCATGCATTTGGATGTAGCTGATTACTTTGCACTCCCCGAAGGAGAAACAAGTCATGTAATCGGTGGTGAATCTGTAGAAATATAAATATTTTAATTTTTGTTGTTTGTAATAGATAGTATGGTTATGTAATTATTGTACATAAATAAAATTTATGCTTTGATAATGATGTTTACTATAATATATTTTACTTATGTCATTTTGAAGAATATGGATAACCCTCAAATTATGTTTGGATCAAAGACAAATCATGAAGATATTTGTGTTATTGATAGTGGAACAACTCATGCCATATTCAACGATCAGAAATACTTTTCTTATTTGCATAAGGAAAAAGCAAATGTTTCAACAATTTCTGGTAATATAAGTTTGATTGAAGGCTCCGGAAGAGCCATTATATTTCTGTCTAAGGGAACAAAACTTATTATAGACAATGCATTGTTCTCCTCCAAGTCCCGAAGAAACTTGTTGAGTTTTATAGATATCCGCCGAAATGAGTATCACGTTGAGACAATAGATGAAATGAACAGGGAATATCTTTGTATTACAAAGAATATTTCTGGCCAGAAATGCATTGTAGAAAAGTTACCAACTTTATCTTCTGGCTTATACTATTAAAAAATTAGTACAATTGAAGCATACTCTATCGTAAACCGGAAGTTTACGGATTCAAATACGTTTGTGCTTTGGCATGGCCGTTTGGGACATTCCGGATCAATAATGATGAGACGAATTACTGAAACTTTGAGTGGGCATCCATTAAAAAACTTGAAGATTCTTACAAATGACGAATTTTCTTGTGATGCTTGTTATCAAGGAAAAATGACCACTAGACCATCACCAATGAAGGTTGGTATTGAATCCCCTGCCTTTTTAGAGCATATACATGGGGATATATGTGAACCTATTCACCCACCAAGTGGGTTGTTTAGATATTTTATGGTCCTAATAGATGTATCTTCAAGATGGTCTCATGTGTGCCTACTATCATCTCGCAACCTAGCGTTTGCAAAGCTATTAGCCCAAATAATTCGATTAAGGGCACAATTCCCATATTATCCTATAAAGGCTATTCGCCTTGATAATGCTGGAGAATTCTCATCTCAAGCTTTTGATGATTATTGTCTATCCGTTGGGATAAAAGTTGAACATCCTGTAGCTTATGTTCATACTCAAAATGGCCTTGCAGAGTCATTTATTAAA